GAAATCGAAAGTGAAAGTAAACAGCGCAAACGCTCATTCAAAAATATTTAAATACACCGCATCCTGAGAGCGGTTCCCTGATGCGCCAAAATTATATACAATGTTTTAAGGAGTGGACACGAAAATCGCGTGAGCGAAACACATGTTGCGGGAGCAGGCGGCAATGGTCAGAGATTCAGCGGGAGTGAGATTAAGAAAACAGCCGAATCCCGGATATTTTGGGCAATTAAGAAATCCCGGCCGGACGCATTTTTGTAGGTCCAAAAAGAGGACATGTCCGGGGAAAAGAGGATGTATGGGTCACCCTAATTTATAATCTATTGCTAATCGATGTATTCTTTTTAAAGTAGCATATGGAACATATTTTCAGCATCATTCTGTGACAAGAAGCCTCATCAGATCACAAAAGGAAGCATCTGACTGGTGTTGTGGAGTAAAAAGGTTATAATGTTCTCTTTTGTTGGACAACAGGTTTAGAAATGTGAATACAAGGGAGGTTTAGCATTAGGCATTTTAATTTAAGCATGTTTAGCTTAGTTAACGGAAGGCTACGTGCTGCCATCAGAGCAAGTGTAACTTAATTACTGCATTCACGCGCTCCTCGGATGCTCGCATTTCCCGAGTTGTGCTTTTAAGTCGGAATGTGAAAACAACATGGACACTCTCGTTACCACAAAGATGTGTTGGATTTGTATTATTAGATGTGCGGTGCCAGTGATGCTTCTTACGTCCGTTTCGAAGAACCGGAGGAAATATTTCAATCGATCGCTCAGGCATGGCACCGAAATGAGGCACCGAAATCTGCGTTCGGATTCGGTTCACATACCGGTTACATAGGTACCGGTGCCATATTGGTACCGGGTTTCGGTACCCAACCCTACTCCAAATGAACCAAGCATGATTTTTTTTTAGCTTATTTACGAAGTTCGACCAGCTAACGTTACCCACGTGTTGTCAGACAGGCCAAAGTCTTACCAGAGGGACGGCTGAAATATCGACTTCTCGCGGCCTTTCGATAGCGACTTGTCTCCGGATTGGAGTCACTACTGTGCCCCTTCTTCCATCGCCTGATTTTCTGGGCTGTTCCGGATCGAAGTTTTCCGGACTTCACCATTTTAGCAGGTGAAAATCCTTACAGTGCTGCCGTCACGCTTGTCTCTCCAGTCTGACTCTGCGTGTCGCGCTTAGGCTTGCGTCATCAGCGGGCGTCTTCTTTGGTGGGGGTCGCATACCGCCATCTACTGAGCATTAAAAAATAAACTCACGAGTTGCTTTTATGTTCCTGTCACACTGTTCCTAATTGAACTTTGAACCGTTTTAATTATTATTCCTGCTCCTCGATCACTATGTAAGAGATGAACTTAAAATTAACGGTAACCTGAAATTTCTAATTCTTTTATTACTTTAATATGTTCTCTTTCATATTTAAGAGATAGCATTTAAACAAGTTCTACTGTCTCAACTTCCAAAAATTCACCACATATAATTAAAGACCATTTTGTCTACTTTTTCATTTCCCTTAATTCCAACATGGGCTGGCACTCATATAAAATATACTATACTAGTTTCAATTTGCTTCATCTTGTATATTATTAAAAGATCAAAGGATAACAAAAAGGTTTCCACTTACTCACACATGACAGGACATATGATAAGCTGATATTAGGAAAATAAACCAGAGTTTGTCAGTCAGACATATATATTTGTATGTTGTTTATTAAAATATGGTGTTAAAAATAAACATTTCTCTGGTATTTACACTGACACACATTCTGACATGTTTTAAAATTGCTATTTAATTTCATCACATCATATTAAATAAATCTTCTCTGTTGTGATTGGCATTATGCCACAAATGATGTTAACAGAATTTCTCTCGTATTCACTTAAGACAATTCGTAAATGAAGCCAGTCAACCTTTCAATCAAAAATTCAGTTAAAAAGACACCTTTGACACAGTATAAAAATCTGTCAAATGTAATAAAAACTTGTGAAATGTTGACAGTGAGAAACTGTTAAATATTACAATATGCAGTAATTGTACATTTTAGACCTAGTTGTTTTGTTTTTCAACATTGATTACAAACCGTATTCATTTAAAATTAATTTTTATTAGAAATGATTAACCTGTCTGTCCTGCAATAAATGATAAAATCATGTCTACAAACAAATGTATACAAACAACTTCAGCATATGAACACAGGTTGTTTTTTTACACATAACACAGATACGTAAGAGTCTCATAACAGTCTATGATTAGTGCCCTAATAAGATTTTAAAAATCCATACGCTCTGTAAATTTAAAAGAGTTCTGCTCAGTAATGGACAGCAGACTGAATCAAGGATCAAGTCAAATGATACCACATAGAATATGGAAATTAATATCCACACAACATATGTAGGGATATTAAAACCAAAAAGGCAAGGTATCTAATTTAATATTATACATTTAGTATGCTACAATTATGGATTGTTAAGCATACAGTAAATAAAAAGAAACTTAAGAACTGATTTTGCAAAATCTTGTGAATATACTCTCCAATTGCTGTGGAACTATATTAATGTTTTACACATGCTTATATGCATGTATATTTGACCTTTTCAGCTCCTCATAGGTTAGAAAAAGTAGACATTTCTGGAAGAAATGTTTGTGCTTAATATTTAAAAAGCACAAGTGTTGAAACTCACACCTGATCAGTGACTTTATATAATAAAAACATAGGTTTGAGTTCATTGAGTCCCAGTTCAAAGATTTGTGTTTAGTTGGGAACAATGGGCTGACTAACAATGACCTGTATTACAAAGTCCTTCTGGATCTTGGTGTCTTGTAAATGTGTTTTATCCGTGAGTAGCTTTCCAGAGAAAAACCATCGCTGGTGGGCAGTATCAATGTCTTCCTGAATTTGAAGCTGTTTTTTCAGCTGACGAATGGAATCGGCCATCGTGGCACTGAGGCGAAGGTCTTTTCCGCTGGAGAGACGCACCTTCAGCTGGAACTCCTTCTCCTTCTTCTCCTGTAGCTCAGAGTTTTCAGACACATTATGATCGTTGCACTTGGACACCAGGTTGACTGGAGGAGCCAAGCAGTATGCAGGGAGCTGATAGCGGTTCCCCAGTTCATCATAGCACTCCATAAGGGACCCTGAAAGAGCAAAACAAAAGCTCCAATTCAGCTCAAATGCTGTTGTCATTAAACCAAATGTGTATATTTAGTATGTGTATATGTATGTATATTTATATGTATAAACTTGGGGTAAGTAAGATTTTTTAAAGTCTCTTATGGTAAACATTATTACGATTTAATTGAACTGTTTTCTATTTTAATATATATGACCCTGGACCACAAAACATAAGGGTAAATTTTTCTAAACTGAGATTTATACATCATCTAAAAGTTGAATGAATAAGCTTTCCATTGATTTATGGTTTGTTATGATAGGACAATTTTTGGCCGAGATACAACTATTTGAAAATCTGGAATCTGAGGGTGCAAAAAATCAAAATATTGAGAAAATCGCCTTTAAAGTTGTCCAAATGAAGTCCTTAGCAATGCATATTACTAATCAAAAATTAAGTTTTGATATATTTACAGTAGAAAATTTACTAAATATATTCATGGAACATGATCTTTACTTAATGTCCTAATGATTTTTGGCATAAAAGAAAAATCTATAATTTTGACCCATACAATGTATTTTTGGCTATTGCTACAAATATACATACCCCAGCGACTTAAGACTGGTTTTGTGGTCCAGGGTCACATATTTTAAAATGTAATTTATTTCTGTGATTACAAAGTTGAATTTTCATCAGCCATTACTCTAGTCCTCAGTGTCACATCCTTCAAAAATCATTTTATTATGCCGATTTGATGCTCAAGCAACTTCTCTTATTATTATCAGTGTTAAAAATGGTTAATATTTTTGTGGAAACCGAAAACAAATCAGGAGTCTTTGATAAACAGCACTTATGGGGAAAAAATTGTAACATTATAAATGTTTTTATTGTCACTTTTGATCAATTTAAAGCAATTTCTTGAATAATTATTGCATTAATAATTCCATTAAAACCAATCGAATGATAATTATAAACATTTTGTAAGAAAATAAAGTTGTATTACATTTACAAAATACAAAACGGAAATATTTTCACTAGATCTGTGTATTAAAATGCTGTTTAAATGTTTACCAAGAGGCAGTGTGATGCTGGCTCCATCTACAATAGCCTGCGCCAGTTCATGGTCGTTACATTCAATCGCTACAGCTGCAGCTTTCAGTGCATCCCAGATCTCTTTACGGCCATCAAAAGCTGGGGCCGTGTCCCAGAATTAATCTCTTTTACTGCACAGTCGGCCCTCTGTCATAGGATATTAACTTTTCCACTTGGGCTCGCAAAAATGGTTCTGATTTCTTTTTAAAAACAAGGGCAGCAAATACGTCTTACATAGTGCATGTGACATCACAGCTTTTGCCCAAATGAGATTCAGTGGACCTTTCCAAGATTTTCCATGCTAGAAGCTTCTCTTTGACATGTAGCAAAGATTTCTAAGCAGTTTAAAACTACTTTTCCTTTAAATGAACTATGACGCTATACGGATCAAATGTAAAAATGCAATAAAAATTAGCATCTAAACAACAACCTAAATCCCAACAGTCAACCCAGCCCAGCTCAATGTTGACTAAAGACGAAGAGCTCATGTACAGTAGGTCAAAGGGAAATCCCTTTGAAGGCTATTGGCTCAGACCATAAGTGGCTGAATCATTTGTACACAAACAAAACGTGACAGAATCGCCGCACAGATTTCAAAAGAAACATACTGTAAATGCTTTGAATCTTCATCACAATTGTAATAACCCTGCTTTCGAGTCAAAGCAGCTGTCACTGCGACACACTGGAAAAAACTAAACAAATTATTTATAGTGTCTGAGATTAAAGACTTAATCGGGCGATGCAAATCAGGATTTAGTGGCCTCTTTCCCATCATGCATCACTCCTAAATCCATCAAGTCCAAGTCCATGATGCACTGTAATAAACCAGCATGTTTAACACACAGTTAAAGTAATACTGTAATTCCACGCACACAAAAATCGAGCTGACTGTGTAAGTCATCAAACTAAACACGGCCAGTCCATCTAACATCTTGCGAACTTCCTTTTTAATTACTAAATACAGGCGATTAAAATGCTCATTTAATTTGGCTTCCAATGGCAGGGAACTTTGGTGTTACAGAACAGGCGTGACCGAAAACCTGCCAAACATTTCTTTAGATTTAGGGTCTTATACTAACAAATAAGTAGGCTACTGTTTATCAACAACCTCAGCAGTTGTAGTATCTCTAACCATACACTGCTAATAATTGTGCGCTGTATGCTACTTACTTTTCAGCACAACTGTTATCGTTGGTTGATAGTCTCTTGAGTTTGCAACTCCCATGGTCTGAGCAGTCAGTTATTCCTCTAACCAGTGAAAAGTTACTGCACAGTCGCTCCTATGACTTCATGCCGGGGTTTGAGAGACAATCAACTCCACATGCGCAGTGCTATAAATTGTCCTGTCACAGCAAAACTCATGACACTCCGCTAGTAGCTTAGACCAGTTTCTTGCAAAATGTACACGCCCATCACCTGTTTTCTGAATCTAAAAATAACAACTGAACAAATATAAATCAAAGCAGATCACCAAGATATCTTCTAGCAGCAAGAAATAGACCTTGCTTTTACAATCCCTGGCTTGGGTTTAGATGTATGAGTGACTTTTTACAACAAACCTAATCCAGTCAACTCTATTTTAGACCAGGACGGATAGTCAAAAATAAACCGTAAATCCCAGGAATGTCTAGAGCAGGTGCATCCAAGCGATTCCACAAATACATCTAATCTAAAATGTCCCAATCTTAATGGATTTCTAGGTAAAGGAATAACATTTTAGCATTTAAGCAGACAAGAAGTTTATATAATATCCTATATGTTAATCTTCTTTGCGCTGTGCCATCAAAATTAAGTAATTCAAGGAGACTTTCTTTCATGTTGGTTTGCTTAAGAAATCAATAACATTCTTTAGAGTTACTGCAGGGACTTATGGGTTCCATAGTGTAAGACCTGCCCTTGTACAACAAAGAAAATGTACCCTAAATGCCCATTTTGAAATGGTGCCTAGAGATATTTAAGATGATTTTGGTATTTTCAAAATGGGGTCCAGGGACCCCCAAGGGGGCACAAGGAAGTGCATGGAAAAGTTTAGATAAATAGGAGTAAAAAATTTAAAAATAAATCAATTAAAATAATATTAAAACAAATAAATATAACCTTAAAATAGATTAAAATAAATAAATTAGTAAATAAAAAAAAATCTAACAGTACAGTACTAATTTTTTTTTTTTATTTAATATAAATAGTTTTCAAATAATAATTAAGACATTAATATTAATTTATAATACAGGAATTCTATGGATTCCTTTACAATTTTAGTATGGGGGTCTCATGTACAAGGTCATATTTAGGAGTCCATGACATTTAAAAATGTTTTTAAAATAGAAAAGTTATTATAATAGAAACGTTAATAATAATAAATATCATAAAATATCTAAATATTAGAAATATCAAAAATAAAAAAAAAATCAGAGTAGGACAAATAAGTTTCCTCATTCAAGGAACACCACAGCCTAGGCATTCACACTATTTGCAACTAGGATTCCTCACAGATGAAGCCTTACCTCCTCCTTTGGTGCTGTATCTGGATGCATTCCTGGAGGACAAGTGAGACCTTTGTCGTATCACTCCAAAACAACTTCCCATCACTCAAACTAACTCACATCAGGACCAAGCTTCAGACGCCTGGATGCCCGAATAAATGCATTTCTACAGTCCTAGTCAATGACGTTAATAAATGATATTTTGTTTTTGCATAAGAAAGATTTGATCTAGTTGAATATTATTTTAGGTTATCAGATGTGTTGCTGTCCGAGGGCAGACACAAGCACGTTGTATTCCGCTGAGTCGACATTTGCCTTAAGCTGATCCAAGAAGACACAGTTATCACACTAATGAAGTCAGTAGACAGTTAATACAAATCTAAACTTGATATTAAATTATCCTCTGAGTTCAACACACACATACTTCCCGATGTAGTCCACACTCAAATCCCTAAAGAAGAATAAATCCGTGTAGAGCTCTAAACGATGAAATCGGTGAACTAGCTAAATCTGCGACTAGAGGGCGCTCTTGCACATTATCGTGAGCAAGCGCTCCATGGAGAAACAGCAGAAATCCAATATGTATTAAAAATTATTATTAAATAAAATGCATATTCATATATATTTTCCCAAACACTACACCAGTTACTGTTGCAACAATAAAACTGTAGTTATTTGCTATTAATCACCACTGACCTGGAGGGTAAAAAAAGAATATGAAATGGTGAAATGATGGTACACTGCCATCTAAAGGCAGCAATATATTTAATGCACAGTGATGCATTTATAGATGTTAACAAAAATCTAAACTGTAAGATGATGAAACAAGACATTTATTTAACATAAAATAAAATTCTAGGCAAGTTTCTTCAGATGTGGTTGACTTTGGAAATGAAGTATTGGATTTCAGTGCATTTAAATAATGATACTGTAAGTGATACAAATAATGAGTTAAAAATCATATTTACATAATCAAACATTAAGCCCCACATGGCTACAAACCCTGCTTTAAAGGAATAGTTCACCCAAAAATGAAAATACTGTCATCTTTTACTCACCCTCTACTTGTTCCAAACCTGTGTGAGTTTCTTTCTTCTGTTGAACACAAAAGAAGATACCTTTTTGGTAACAGTTGACAGTAGGCACTGACCTTCATAGTATTTTTTTCCATACTATGGAAGTCAATGGCAACCGTTAACTGTTTGGTTACCATCATTCTTTAAAATATCTTTTTTGTGTTCAACAGAAGAAAGAAACTCACACAAGTTTGGAACAAGTGGAGGGTGAGTAAATGGTGACAGTTTTTTCATTTTTGGGTGAACTATCCCTTTAAGCACAGTATCTTCCATAGATCGCACAGACAACTGTCATGATTTCATTATAAAATATTGATAGAAACATCCAAAATATGCATGGTATTTTTTGGAGGGCAGCCCTTTCATTTGGCCAGAAAGAGCAAAAGTCCCCCAGTGAGATCACTGTCTAAATCTGGGCTCTGCAGACTCCTGTGTTCCCAGGGCTCTGGTTCTGCATTCAGCCTTGGCACAGCGGGTGAGGCTCACCCTGATGAGCATGTTGGTCATCGCCAACTAAGGCAGTCAAGTCTTTAATGTCTCAGACTGGCATCATGTCTTTTTTAAGAGGGTAAATGTCCCATGTCAGTCCGTCACCATATGGGGTGTGTCCAGAGGGCAGGAGAACACGAGTCAGCCAATGACTGTGAAGACGATTATAATAATTTACATTAAAATCACAGCTTACAGACTGCAGAATTTGACTAAGAGCATGTAAAATGTGTAATTATACCTTCTCTTTTCTACACCAAAGAACACCTTCCAGTTGTTAAGTTTACCATAATTAAAAGGATTACGATAGACCTTTAAAAAGAGAGAAAAGGTCAAATCATAGATCAAAAATAATTATAAAATGTGTTATAGTTTTGACATAGTTACCAGAGATCAAACAATAGGAAGAAAATTAATTCCAATCAGTTATAAAAGTTCAGACTTTTATAACTTACCTTTCCACGTTTTGCCAAACGTTTGGCCTCTTTGTTGTTTATATGGCGTTCAATGCTGGTTTCTCCACGGGTGATAAGTACAGCATGCCACAGTGTGAGAGCTCCTAGGGCGACTGACACTGTGCTGATGGAAAAAACAGCAAACATAACAAAAGATGTGAGTCTATGGAAATAGTAAAACCAGTATTGGGGTTTTACTATTTATAATAGACTATTAGTTATAATAGACTACCTTGTAAGAACCCACATGTAGATAACACTCTTGTGAAACATTCTGTCTTTGTAGGTGTATGGAGGTTGTGAAATTTCCTTTGTCCATTGAAGCATCAGAAAAGCAAAAAATATTTTACATTATTCAAAATATAATGCATAATAATAAATATAATTTACATTAATAAAATATAGCAATATACTTGAAGATAATTTTATAAATATAAAGATTTAAAATATTATGTGAATACTGAGTTATATGAGTGCAACTACTGTATGTTATTTATGCATACATACTAATGTTCAAATATTTGGGTTTAGTAAGATCTTTTAATGCTTTTTTAAAAAAGTCTCCTATGCTCACCAAGGCTGCAATTATTCAATTAAAACACAGTAAAAACAGTAATATTGTGAAATGTTATTACTATTTACAACAACTGATCTATTTGAATACATTTCAAACTAAAATGTATTCCTGTGATAGCAAAGCTGAATTTTCAGCAGCCATGACTCAAGTGTCAGATGATCCTTCAGAAATCATTCTAATGTGCTCAAGAAATATTTCCTGTTATCGTCAAACTAAAAACTACACATGTGCAATGTTTCTGATTCATTGCTCCAAATGGAAATTGTAACGCACCAGATAGTACCAAGCAGAGCTTAAAAAGTCTAAAGTTCACCAGTAAATCCCCCTCATCTAATTGTAAGTAATACTCATTTAAATATGCGCTGTTAGCATTGGGATAGGGAAGGTCAGAAATAATTTGTTGGTTTTCATAGCATGCTGTTTGTTTAAGAGCGTTAAATAATGAACCGTGATACAGAAAACAAAAATTACAGCTCTAGAGCCAAAGCAACAGCAGGAAAAACGACTTGAGCCACCTGTACTCCCTTCCCAGCCACGCCTTCTGACGGGACAATGCCGATGAGAAACCCAATCCCTGTCACCGGGACACCCTGTTTCTCCGCTTCCAAGTGTCTGAATTGCTATGGAATGGCAGAGAGACAGCTGGCAGTTAAAACATTCCCACTACACCAGACTTTAAGAACAGAAAGAGAAAAGGAGAGACACAACCATTCAGAAAGAGAGAAGTTATCTACCTTATTCATTAGAATAAGTAAAGGAAAAAACAATGCCCACCTAGGTCTTTTTCAAGCTTCAAAATGTTATGATACAAAGACCGAGCTAGACTAAATGGAAAAGAGCAAAGACAAAACAACAAATGTATAAAAAAAACAAAGCCTTACATCTATGGCATTGTATGCATCGATAAACAGATTGCGACCGCTGATGCTGCAATACATGCAGCCCAAAGTCAAAAAGACACAAAAGGAGAAGAAGTAACGATGATTGTAATGGCCAACACAGTTGTTAAGCCAAGCTGAATATCAATAATTAAGGACTTAACTACACAGAAGTGGAAAAAGATGAATTGCATCTGGGCTGTTAAAGGAATAATTCACCAAATTTAATTTCAATTCTATCTAAATTCAATTTAAATGTAAATTTGATTGTTACTTACTCACATTTGAGTCATTCTAAAACCTTTACTACTTTTGTTCCCCTGTGGAACGCAAAAGGGAAACTGGAGAGCAACAATGCCTGTCAAGCTTTTCAGCTGCCTTGTCACAATTTTTCCAACAGGGATTTTTAAATAAAGTCTTTGTTAAAAAGTTATAAGCCATTAACAAATCCAACTAGCTACAAGGCAATTCATAATATTACAAATTTTGATTTGAAGCAAAAAAGTATTTGAAAATTGGACAAAAATACAATGGTACAAGTACTTAAAGAAATACTTCAGTTAAACATAAAAGAAGATATTTTGACCTCCATAGTAGTTTTTCCTATTCTTTTTTATGTTCAACAGAAAATTTTCACTTTTGGGTAAACTATACTTTTAACGGTTTTAATCAGGGAAATATCTACAATACCATGAAGAATTTTAAATGACAATCATAACAAAAAGCAATGGATAATTATAAAACTACTGATTTAAAGATGTTGAATATGTATATAGAAAGAATATATTAAATGTTTATTGCAAAATGAATATTTTTATATTTTTTATATTACATATTAAAGTGTTCTTTTGGGGCAATCTGTTTGTTAGTTTCTCTGATTAATATGGATTTTCTTTCTGAATCATGGGTAAAGTAGATTTTCCACAAGGAATTTTGTTAGTAAACATGATTATTAAAAAATATTTATGTTCAAATAATGTGAGCTGATGGATTCAACAAAAGTAAACAACCTTGTAGCTCACAGTAGGTTTTGTAAGTTATCATTTAAAAAAAACTGTTGAATTCTATTCTGAAAACTGTTCTTGTCAGTCTTTTCCATGCAGTTATAATAAATTAATGCAATACAACTTGTGTATAGTTTGCAACAACATGAATCTGAATAAATGATGACAGAATTGTCATTTTTGGATGAACTATTCCTTTAAACTGAATGTTTAACTAAAAAAACATAGCCAGTATATAAGAATTTTAGAGTAAAATAAGACCAAATGGGTGCACTATTTACAAAATGTATGGTGATTTAAAAAGGATACGGCAATGATGATCCATTTTTAGAATACATCTGTAGAGAAAGATACAGGGATGTTGATACATGTGAGTTTCTTACAATAATATTATTCAATGCAGCTGACACTGAGTCACCAGTCAGATTTTATAAGCCTGTTAGGACAGAGAAAACTGTGTGTCTCTTACGTTTTACAGATGCCACAGTGATGACTTCGTGCTGGTTTAGGAATGACACACTTTTTACAGAATGACACAAACGGGACCTCGTTTTTCATCTGAAACACAATGTGAAAGAAAGAAAGAGGAACTGTCATGTCAAGAATGACATTGAACACACACTTCTGGTGTGTGTGTGTGTGGTATGTGCACACTTCTTAAAGGGTGCCAAACCTTTGGAGGGTATCCAGGAGGAGTGTTTGTGGCTTTGTAGTAATGGAAGACAATCATGACCAAGATCCAATTCCCGTAACAAATGTGCCACATCATCCAGCCAAGAGAGTACGTTTGGAGGACCAACGGTAGAAGGCAGAAGTATGCGATGAAAACCACAGAACTGGTAAGAGCTACTACTAAAAACACAAAAACCTTAAGAGAACAGAAAAAGCGCAGAGTGTAAGAAAAACAAACCGACATTGCAACAAAACAACATGATGGTAATTGTGAGATTTACCATTCCAAACCATCGTGTGACAACCTCCACCGTCCAAAACACTGGTTCAAGGATGCAGTCCAGTACCACTTCAGAGTTAGTGAGCGAGTTAAAATAAAGGGATTTGAAGATCAGTTTGATGTAGCTCACAGGCTGCCTCAGTCTTCTGGGCATGCGACTGCGACTGTGTCTGCCACATCCGCGCATGCATCGCAGCAGCAGGTGCATGACAGTAGAGCAGGGACGCATGTTCAGCCCCTGTAAAGACAAGATCTTATCTTTTAATAACCTGTTCGAACATCCTGAATATCGGCACAAGCAAGTTCCTCTGCATACGGCCTGCAATTTGCTCACTGACAATTGCCCTCATGCTGAACCTGTAAGACAATTAGATTGATCAAGTATCCTTCTAAGCAGATGGTGTGGATTGATATAAACCAATAATGCAAGCATGGTTTAGTTTTCTGATACCCCTGAATTATCTAACATAATACAAATATACGAAAGGTTGATGCCCTCTTTTGTTCAGTCTTTAGAAAGCAGCATACTTTACATGATTGCACTGATAATAACAATGCACCTACAACACCCTGCCCTTTTAAGTTTACTTAGGTTTAGAAATAAAACTCAGGGATGGTTAGGCTAGTGACTAATGCATCTTTCCGTGGATTTGTAGTTGTAATCAAACCATTAATCTTATTAGAAATGTTTCAAGCCATCCCTTAAAGAGGCGCTGGATGTGAATTTAGATTAATATATACATAAACAAAGATCTGGGATGATGAAGAGAAACTTTATTTATTTAAAAACGTAAGGCAAAACACAAAATCAGTGGCAAGACAATACATTTATTAATCATATAGGTGTGTCCCCAGTTAGAATTCAAAAAATGTTAATGCTAGCACTGCATGCCCAGACGTTGTCAAATTGAGACATGTGAGCGACGACGGATCTGGACAGTCTACATTCCGGTCACACTAGTGAATGTGGAGGGAACACCACCACCCATATGATATAACATTGTAATTGTGACAGACATAAGCAGAAAGAGATGTAATAGTTATAGTGGCCAGTAGATACTGTAAGATTTGTGTAAAAATGGTCAACATCATACACCATCCCCCCCATGTCATAAACAGACTATAATCTTAGGGACAGATCGTGAGTCTGTGCCTCTAAAATGATCATTAAGAGAAATACACTCAAAGATATTGTTAAGTTAGTACATCACAGTGTCAAAATGAAATATCTACAATATATAGTTACATATATAAATATACTATCTATCTGTCTGTCTGTCTTTCATTTATCTATAATCTGTATCATTAAGAGAAATACACTCAAAGATATTGTTAAGTTAGTACATCACAGTGTCAAAATGAATGTAAATATACTATCTATCTGTCTGTCTGTCTTTCATTTATCTATAATCTGTCCAATACACACTCATATATAGATACATAAATATACAAATATACGTATATATATATATATATATATATATGTCTCTGTATACCGCACAAGGATGAAACAAAGGATAACAGTGATGTTTAGTACCTCGACCTGACTGAATCAAACAGCAAGAGCTAAACATCAAAGAGCACAGCATGGCAGAAATTTGTACAATCGGTTGTCTTACCTGCCCAAGATCTTCTCCTAAAACTGCGATAAAATCAACTCATGATACCGTTGAATGTTTATATATATATATATATATTGGCACAGACGGAGATAAATAATTGGAAGCAGCAGTTTCTATCCCTTTGATTTCATCTGCTGTCTGTCTGTCTGTCTGACGCTCAGGGATGTGAGCTCAGCTGTCACGCTGAGAATTCTGGGAATTGTAGTTTAAGGCGCAGAAAGCGGAAATATTATCTGGGAATATTTTTATAATGTATATTTTTATATTATTAATAATCAAAATTACGTTATATTGTGTGGTATTTAATGAATTAATGGCATTTAGGTTCTATTTTTATAGGATTTAAGACAAACTGCACCAGGGAATTGTGGGAATTGCAGTTTGATTCATGTCCAAGTCATTTTCGCGAATCGGTTCTTTCGAAGGAACGGCTCAAGAAACAATTCAGTGATTCTTTTACGTCCGAACGTAATTGCTGCTAACTCACAATAATCTAACTCACAAATCTAACTCACAATAACCATGAACTTATTTAAAACGCGATTATAATTTGCATTTACATTGCTAAAATAATGTACACCTATTGGCTGAAAATGCAGTTTAAATAACTCGGACCTATTTCTGAACCTGTTCTGTTCAACCAATGCATTGAAAAGATCCGACTCAAAAGAACAATTCGTTCAGGACTCGGATAACAATAGTAGATGTTCACACGTGCTAAGGGCACTGAGTGGGTCGAAATAGTACAAGAGATGGCATTCAGTTTCAACTTCGATATTCCTTTACAGACAAACGAAACAATCGATAAAGAAAACAAAGACGACAAAGCAAAAGAAGTGGCTCTTAAGTGCTCGGTAAGGGAATTTATTATTGGCATGTTAAAACCCGCTATATCTTGGCTAATGCTGCAAGACAGCTGACTGTAAAATCTAAAATTATGCTTGAAATGTACAGCACACTTTAAATTCTAGGACTATATGATATTCCATTTTAACAGTTAATGTGAAAGCGTAAATCAACAATATGTGGGGGTATTTACTCAAGCTTACACCCCATGTTGTGATTGCATCTGTCAAGATCATATGCACATTGTATTCTTTCCATAGGAAGTCAGTGCAACTGTCCCAAAGAAGATAAAGGATGCTGTGGAGCACCAACCTTTGTTGGATCCTCTAACCCAAATTGAGAACTGGGTGCCTGAAACCATCACTATAGGTGCCCTGCCTCCCCTGCTCTGTCTCAATGAATCAGTGTTTGAGAAGACTGCTCCTGAACGAGAGGACAGTGAGGAGATACTGGCCAAAACACTGACTCAAAACTCAGACCTCATCTCTGGAGTCTATGAGGGTGGACTTAAGATATGGGAATGCACTTACAATCTACTTGAGTACATTGATGATGAAGGAGAGACCTTCGCTGGGAAAAGAGTGTTAGACTTAGGCTGTGGAGCTGGTCTACTTGGCATACTTGCATTGAAGAGAGGAGCCAGCAAAGTTGATTTCCAGGATTATAACAGCACTGTGATAGAGCAGTTAACAGTGCCAAATGTTTTTCTCAATTGTGAAGATGATGAAAATGAAGAGAAAAATAGCAGCCCACCGTGTAAGAGAAAAGCCCTGATTGCAACAGAGAAATTACAAGATCGTTGTGGTTTCTTCTCAGGCGACTGGAACTCTTTTCTCACACTTATGCAAAATAAAACCCCATCACCGAAATATGACATTATCTTCACATCAGAAACCATATATAACACGGACTACTACTCTTCACTTCATAGTGTGTTTTGTGACCTGCTTGATGAGAATGGCATTGTTTATTTGGCAACCAAATCTCACTATTTTGGAGTAGGAGGTGGCCTTTGTCTGTTTGAGAAGTTTGTGGAGCAGAATAATGTCCTTCAAATTAGATATTTGAAGGATGTGGAACAAGGTCTTAAGAGACATGTTGTATCATTGACATTCAAAAAGTGACATTCAAATTGTATTGATTAATGTGCCTATGCAATTATAGTGCAAGTTAACATAAAATAATGGATGCATATTCTTTTTGGCCAAATGGATGGTTATGAGATCCTAAATTGTGCTTGGTGTAAATAACTAATTTTAAAACAGCAAGAGCACCATCACTGAAACTGGAGTTTGGTGAAACACTCCGAAGATTTGTAGAAGTCAGTGTTCAATCTGCAATAAAGCACTGCAAAACCATCATCAAATAAACAAGAACTGACACAAGTTTACATGTACCAGCATACATCAAGCAGAATCACACAGGCCAACAAACAGTCTCAACACTGGTTTAATGTGAAAAGAAATGTACTTGGAGATGCCACATTGACAACAGTTGACCAAATATAGAGTGGAGACAAAGTAAATTATGGAATGAATTACATAAAGACAAATCCAAACAAAAATATGTGGTCCTTGTAAACTGTTTAAGTAATAAATACTCACAACCATTCCAAAATTCTAACATTTCAAACTGGTTACATATTGATCCTATATTTTTTAACTTGTATATATATTTCCATATAGCTCTGTCTCATTGATGTTAAATATGGGAGTATATACGCTATTTCTTGGCTTTGCCCTGTGCTGCCACAGCTTCCATGGCTTTGCGAACAGTTTCCTTGTCTCCGAGGAACTGCATGGGCTTGATGGGCTTCAGGTTCTTGTCCAGCTCATAAAGAATAGGGATGCCTGTGGGCAGATTCAGCTCCATGATGGCCTCCTCAGACATACCTGTAAGTGTGAAGAAACAAACTGAGACTATGGAAGAAATTAAATTGAAATAATCTGTGGTGACTCCACAAGTCATTTTTATTTTTATATTATCCATTTTAATTTTAAAGTTTGAGTAATTTTTGTTTTTTTGGCATTTTTATTCGTTTTTTTATGTGTCTAAATAGTTTTTATTAATTTATTCCGTTTTAATTTTAGTTACTTTAGTACATCAAGTTTAATTAAATGAAAATGAGAAATGCCTTGGCAACTAGCTTACATAAAAAAAAAAAAAAGTTTCCGGTAACGTTACTTTAAAAAATCTTTATGAAAGATTATATTAATTTCCATGACTTTTCCAGATATGGAAATCATATTTAAAGGATTTCAATGATGGTGAGAACCTTGAACAAGGGATTGAAATTATACTGTGGGATAATTACCTTCTAAGTGCTTCACAATGCCTCTCAAACTGTTTCCATGAGCAGCAATCAACACTTTCTTTCCCTCCTTGATTTGAGGCACAATCTCCTCATTCCAGAAGGGTAGGGCCCGTGCAATAGTGTCCTTCAGACTCTCACAAGAAGGCAGCTGGTCCTCGGTCAAATCAGCATAACGTCTGTCCTATAGAAAGACAAGACATCCCACAAGACAAAATTGGTGCACGCATTACTCAAATGTTCTATAAACATATCACCACCGTGTAATAGTTCTGCTCTTTTAATCTTAATAGAAATTCTTGACTTGTTAGTTTGTTCTAGGTCAAGGGTCGGCAACCGGCGGCTCTTTCATCCCTCTGTGGTGGCTCCCTGTAGCATGGGTATACAATACGCGGGGGAGGTGTCCCCCCGACTTTTAATAAATCCTAAACTCTTCCCATGCACTTTTTCTCGGGCAAGTGTGTTCACAAAGAGGTTTTCAAGGGCCAATGTGAATAAATCTAGATTTAAATTAAAAGAGACAAGATAGTCACGTCGTTTTGGATACGTTTTATTCTTATCCAAAACGATGTCACGGAGCGCTGAACACTCTCATGTGCTGTGCTTCATTCATACTCGAAGCCGGAGAGCACTCTCGTACAGAAAGTCCAAAATGGACTCATATGATAGAAGTAACTTTTGACGCCAGGAAATCCCTAATATGGACAAAGGCATCCCGCTATCGCTGTAGCTAAGCTGAATAACAAGCATAAACCTTAACTGATGAAACGTGAAGAAAATAAACGATTGTGACAATATATGGTTTATATGTGTTTTTCAAGTCTTTTATATGAATGATACAGTAGTAATTGCCATAGCATTAATTACAGTACAGAAGCTATACAATATATTTTCTTATTCTTATATTGTATAGCTTCTTCTTTGATAAAAATGGAAAAAGTCTTTGTAGTATATAAAGTATTATACTGATTATACAATCATAACCATAAAATTGTCATTAGTAAAATATATATCAAAAATATTATAGAAGACAAATGATTGGTTATTGTCCAGCAGTGTATTTTATTTCTTAGCCAATTAAAAGTAAGAGATAAGAAAAGTTTTTTTTGGTTGTAAATTAGACATACATAAATAAATATGAATAGGCCTATTATTATTATTATTATTATTATTATTATTATTATTATTACATTTGACATTTCTATTATTATTATTATTATTATTATTATTATTATTATTATTATTATTATTATTATTATTATTATTATTACATTTGACATTTCTGTCCCCTCACTTCTGAAATGATTGCTACTCCCCTGCCCTGTAACATAACTGAATATAACACTTTAGCTATATGCCGTGTTATCTTTATTTGGGGATCAAATATTTTGTGGCTCCACGTGAATTTTATTCGGTGGGAAAGGGGCCAAAATGGCTCTTTTGACGTTGAAGGTTGCAGACACCTGTTCTAGGTCATAGGAAAACCAGAGTTTTCCTATGACCTATGAAATGCTATCAACATTTGTAAGCGGTTTCCTATACAAATAAGGTTTGAACTTTGTTTTCTGAGTCTTTGCACTGATTAACTACTAGGATGTCAATTTCAATGTGTAACATCAACATGCTGCAACAAATTTGGTTTTCAGACTCATGAATTGGTATAATGCATGTTAAAATGGCGTATGAACTCTATGATTTTCGTTGTATGGGATGTAAGAATGCAGATAATAAAAAAGTTGATAGGCATGCTGTCATCATGCAATATCATCCATTCAGAAAGCTAAAAACTAAGTACATCCTCACCATGTGCATTTATACACTTATGAGTCGTTTCTTATATATTTTGAGAATCTATGGAATCTAAGAAGGGGGAGTGACTAATTATGAAGACAAATACATCCAAAATATGCATTTGAATGCAACAAATTAAGGGTTTAAAGTACCATAATGAATAAAAGATGCTGAAGACCCCACCTTGCTGATGATGCTGTAAAAGTCATGATCTGCATCCATAGTCGGTGGAGGGATGTCATAGGAGCGCCTCCAAATCTTAACCTGGGCTTCACCATGCTTGGCCGCAGTCTCAGCCTTGTTTAACCCAGTGAGACCACCATAATGGCGTTCATTCAGGCGCCAGGTCCTGTGCACAGGCAGCCACATCTGATCAATACTGTCCAAAACAATCCATAACGTCCGGATGGCCCTCTTCAGTACCGAGGTATAACAAATGTCAAACTTAAACCCTGCATCTGCAAAGACACAGTATATGGAACACAGAATTCAACATAATACAACTTAATATATTATGATAGTAATTTATTTTTCTTATAATTAAAATATTATTTAATGCACATTTAATACAGCATAGCCCTAATACGGAATTAAAACTATACAAATTAATATTATAATAACTTATTTTAAAAATGTAGAATATTAAATGTAGATAATATTTTGTTATAGTTATTAAAATAATATAATATTACATTATAATTATTAAAATATTCTAATTTATAATATATATTATATACAAAATGCATAACTGTAAACGCGTCAAAAAGTCACTTTATTGCATCCCTGACTGGAAAATTCAGCACGTGAACAAAATCACGTCCTGTGTTGCACGTTCGCATCAGATAGGCCCCGCCCTCTACCCGTCAGTAAAAGGCAAACCGCCAGCTTATTGGTTCAGATCGTACACGCGTCATGTCGGAGGCGGGGCTGTGCCGGGGATGCACACAGTCTTCTGAAGGTCATTTGAATTTTCCGGTTTGACTTTTATTATTTAAAATGCAAAAATCTCAAAGCAAGCATTAATAAAACAACGTGGGCAAAGGGACACTCAGTTAAGACATAACGCAGATGTTCTTTCAAAAACTAAACTAGAGCTAATCTGCTGATATACATAGGACAGCAGATTTACAACGCTCATTCAAAAACCATAATGCTGGAAAATATAATACTATACAGACCTTTTAAAGCTTGACCGCCTTTCTTTGCCTCCTGAGCCCCTGTCTCGCTCAGGTCCGCGTCGAACCAACCACAGAAGCGATTCTCCTGATTCCAGCAGCTCTCGCCATGGCGAATGAGAACCAGCTTGTATGCAGCCATTTGAGACAAATAATAAAGGTAGCAGCTAAAGACAGCACAGTGAGCTCTGAGCTCTGATCGAACAGGTTGTTAAGCTCTGTAAAGAGTACTGTCATAAAGACCCTCCTATCATCTCAGTCCGTAATGAATGACGTTCCGACCTCCCCATCTCAACGCTCAACCAATCAAAGCCTCGGAACGATGCGCAACCATGTGAAACTGCAAACACGACATGGAAAAACCCGTGACCTTCCTGTACCGCCTGTGAATATTTTATAGTAAACCCCCGGTTCAAAATGTTTTAGCAAGAATAAAAAGGAGTATAATATATTTCATCGTTCATAGTTCATCGACCCCTACCAGAGAAAATCAGTATTATAAATCATTCAACTAAAGGAGGATTGTAACTTACCGTTAGAGTTCATTGGGTGTATCTTGGAGATGAGGTTCTGGAGAGCCAATCAAAAGTTACTTTTTTAGGTATGGGCGGAGTTTAGCCAGGGAGCCTGTCTGAACTGAGCAGTTCGAGTGAATGCTGCAGTTGGTATATGAATGAAACATAGTAACTATTAATCTTGAGTATCTTGATAGTAACTATTGATCCTTAACTATACATCTTTGACTTTTTTATTCGAAATGTATGTACACAACTGCAGATCTGACCATAATCTGATGTTAAATGACTCATGATCACTCATTATGAGTAGATGGAAACTGCATTTTGCCACACCTTTTATTCCAGTGGGTATTTCTCAGGGTTGGCTCTTTTTGAAAATCAGCCTACAAAAAGCCATTGAACATTTCCACTGTTATTTATTGCCCAGGAATAAAAACAATCTTGTCACAGTGGAGCCTTCCATTAAACTAAAGACCTTGCCTTGCTTACTTTAGTCTGCATACTTAAGATTTTTGTTGCCCATTACTCTGACTCTGAGTATACACTTAGAAGCAGTCAATGCTTGGATGGAAACAAAGTGACATACATTACAGTATATTTTAGTGAAAACAAA